GTAATATCAAATAATATGATATAAAGCATCTGAAAACGTGCCATTATACCGCACGGTAAAATTAATGTCTGATTTTTTGAGGAGAAAGGGAAAACTTTGAGAAACTCCCTTAATTTGGGGAAAACTCCTCAGATTTTAAGGGAGTCTCCTCAAAAAATTAGGGAATTTACCACATTTTTTGAGGAGACTCCCTCAAAGTTTTCCCTTTCTCCTCAAAAAAATCAGACACTGTTTTTACCGTGCGCATAATACCATAATACTCCGTGCTGAGGTGAGTTGGAGACCCCTCGATTTTTTCTCATCTGGATTTTTGACTATAAACAATGCATTTTCCTGTTCTAAACTAAGCAATAACTTTGAAAATCAGTCTACTTAATTCAACGCTCTCCCTCTATGTCACCGTGCGCCCCACCCTACACTCGCGTACTCTTACCCACACGCAGTGACGGATAATTTTCCGGCACGTTGGCTGCTAACGCGCTCTTAACACGCCTGGACGACCCCTGTTCGACGTTTGAGCGGGGGCGAAGAAGCCCACATTATGATCATGATAAAGTCATTCTTACACAATCGGCTTGTTAATCAGGTCATTACTACGACAGATTTAAGGCAAGGTAAGGGATGAAACTAGGAGCTACAAGATAAATTTGACCCATTTACATAAATTTTGGCCGCATATTTAACTTTGTTAGAAACGTCTTCCAGAGTGTTTAGCCCAATCGGCCCAACAGATACCTGAAGATAAAAGCATTTTGGGGGGCAATTTGAGCCCGAGGCGTGCGTATTTGTTTGATCTCACACCTGTTCCCTGCAGATAACTATTTCCCTCGGGTTCAGAAAAAAAATTTAAATTAACTTATCGGGCATCTACTTTTCACGTCCAAAACAATTGTCAAGTGAATAGAAGCAATAATTATTGTCTCAACAGTTCAAAAAATCACTTTTTCTCTCGGTACATAGTTCTATTTTGTGGCTACTACTGTACTTGACACGACATCCAAATGACAAAGCGCAAATATCGGAATGAAGCCGTCTTATAAGGTAGATAGGGGGGGGGCGGTTTGGGGTGACACGTCATCCGGGTATGGCTGGTACGCATCATTGTGGCCGCGAAAAAGGCTCAAGCCGGCTCAAGCCAAAAGTCGAGCAGTGGGAAGCGGAACGATTCGCGGTCGATAAGGCACGCCGAAGAACTGATAACAACGACGAGCCGATATGCCCGCGGCAACAGTCGACTTGTGGGATG